CTACAAAAGCGAGTATAAGAAAATTCTTCTTTTGTTGTTTTTTTTTTCTCATCGATAAATATGCTCATGTTAGAAACAATAAACATGTATCTATAGGCGTATAATGTCAATTTTATTCAATTCCGTTAACTTTCTTATATTAAAAAATTTGTACATTTGGTTTGCCCTTGAAAACCAACGGAATATGACAAAAAAAAAAAAAATCTGCTACCAGCCACAGTGACTATTTCTGTCATATTTATATAATTTTTTTATTCTGTTCCATTCGACATACAGACACGTTATAAAAAAAATCCTTGGTCAAAAAAGGCGAAGTAGCAGAAACGGAGCAAAAATAATAATAATAATAATAAAAAAAAACTTTTTCAATGAAACTCGTGTAAAGAACTGTGGAAGGTAACGAAAGAAAGAAAAGGTAAAAAAAAGTGAAAATTAGTTACTTTGAAAAAGGTCGTCGCTTCCAAGGATGTATGAAAAGTTATTTCAAATATGTGCACCCTTCTAGCATCAAAACAATGTGGATTAATAAATATGTTTTAGTCTTACTTATTGTTCCTCTCACAGGTAAGATTCATTTCCTTTTTAGAAAGTTTTAACGATGAGCTAAATACTGCGACAATATTCTATTGTAGTTTTTTTCAACACTTTTGTCCAACAACCATTCGTCGTTTAAGATCTTGGATTGGCAAAACATGGGCCTGAGAAGTATTTTGAGGAAAGTGAAAAAGTAAACTTTGAGACGCTTGTAAAAATTCGATACTGTCTGCTGTGCAAAAAAAGAATTGTTGTTCCCTACCCTCTCCTCTTCTTAACCATTGAGCATCGCCTGGTAGTCATTTTCGACTGTGTGAGAGTTTGTGTATTCTTTGCTCTGTAACACACTTGCTAGGTCAAATTGAACAGTGTGTTTCTAGTGTGTCTCGTTGATCTTTTTAGAATACGCTTTTCCCTCTCTGTTTTCATCCTGTTAACAAAGATGGAAGCGAAGCTCTGGTCGTGCTCAAACTTTTGGCACAGACACTACAGATGCTGCCTCATATTCTAACTGTTTTCTTCTCGAAATATTCGAAAAATCCTGAAAACCTCTATGAAAAGTCGGTCTACTCATGGCAAAAGTTGAGACTGAAACATTTTACAAAGTTTTAGAATCTAAGATAGAGTCAGTAAGTAAGTAAGTTAGACCCATACCGTTTCCAGTGTAGGGTGAAAAACAAAATCCAATGCACAAATTAAAAAGAAAACTATAGTGTCTTTGGTAAATGTTTATAAGTTGCTGTTGTAAGATAAGCCAATGTACATCGGGTCATTACCCTCCAGTGAACTGGCTTAAATAGTGACCGTCATAAACTTCCGACCCATCCGACATCAGGTATTCCACAATCGATAATGCTGCAACTCCCAATCATAAAACTCCACCAGCATTTTCTACACCTTCAAGCTGCACCACTGGTACCGGATGGAAATGCCGTCGGCACCAATTCAAGTGTACCACTCTTTGTGTGTCGGTTTTCCACATGATGTTACTCTTCGCTGCAGCTCTACAGATACATAATTATTTTATAGCTGTCTTCCGTATGATCTTATTCCTCTTGCACCACCCTACCGCTTTTATGCAGGCCTTTACATGGTTCGTAATACCTTGCGGTTTAAACTTTGTTTTACATCCAGGACAGCGATATTGATTGTCTGTTTCTTTCATTAATATTTCTGTCACTTTCTGTTGTCCCACTCCTGCTCTACGATCATCATCACGTTTCTTATAATTGAACACAATTTCTTTAAGACGAAAAAGAACGATAGAGTCAGACGTATCTATGGTAACGTTTGGGCGCAATAGCACTAATTTTTCAATAGACCGTAACGTGACTGGATTAGAATCATCAGTATTTTGACACATAATGGGTCACTTTTTCCAGGTATTTACGGCGATGCTCATATATCCACAAAAAATATCAAAAAATTTTGGAAGTAGTCTCATTGTGAAGGAAACACTTTTGTGTAAGAAACAATTTTGGAGAAACTGAACAGACAAGATAAATTAACAAAACTAAACAGCTGATTTTTTTGTCTGCCTCTTCAGCAATAACTAAAGAAATCCATAACTGCGCAAAAAAATGGTCGTGGAACGCTGGGAGTGATCTTATTCTATAGCCTAGACTGTTCTCATCATCCCAAGCAAAATAGGATGTAGCTTAAGCTAGCTGAAAGGAACATTTACCTGGCTTGAGCTAGCTGAGTGTTCCTCTTTAGCTAGCTTAAGCTAGATCCCATTTTGCTTGGGATGTCTGCTGCTATGTTCACCTCAAAATAAAAAATGTTGTGGAAAACGATGAAGGATTAGCCGTAAATACTTATACGTGTTTAATAAAGAGAATAGATTTTTTAAACAAATTGAAAAACTGAATTGTCCTTATCTTATTTTCTGTTAAAAATACATTTATTCCTTTTATTTTGATTGTTCACAGATGTAAGAAACTATAACTCTTAGTCATGATTTTTCTCTTGTCATTCACTGTATCTTTTTTATGAATTGTTTTGTGTTAATAAAACAAAGGTAAAAGGTGACGTAGCCTTTACAAAAGCTAGAAACGACACCGTACAAAACTTTTTATATAAATTAAGTCAATACGCAACGTGTGTCACCGAAATGAAAAAGCACCAGTTTAATATGAAATCCTTTTTTAACTGAGCCTTTGAAGGTTTTGAATGCGTTTCAAAAGTATAAACTATTAAAGATCGGGTAGAAAAGCATTTGTAGAGAATATTATAGTGAGGGTGAGGCACAGTGGCTATTTTCCTAACAGCAGGCGGACATTAGAAATTTTGCTTATAAACCATTTTTTCACGAATAATTATCATTGCTTAGTCTTCTCTAATGCTTCTCAACAAAAAATTACTTTCTTCGAAAAATCGGTCTTGCTGGTTCACGGAGAATAATTTCTATGGATAGTTATTCAATACAAAACTTATTGTATTATACATGATTCGACGCAACTTGATGCGCTGATTCCATATATGACCTTATTTTTCTTACACTGTTTCTGGGCTGAGAAAAATCGATTTTATCTGAAAACCAGGGTTTTTTTAGAAAACAGCTGGGAAAAGAGTTGCATTAAGTTGCACGTACGATAGATGTGTTATACATAGACGAATATTCTGGCAAAATTTGGCGAAGTATGAAGCTCTGGAAACTCCTTACACTGATCACACGTTTACGGAAACTGAGTTAGCCTGGAAAATAAATTCGTTTCTGCGACGCTAGAAGGTTAAACTGGGAAATTTTCTCGTTAATATAGTCAAGAAAGAGATTAGATTCATAATCTATGTCGTTTTTGTTTTGGACATCAAGTCACGTCAAGTCAAATATATTTTGCCAAAAAAAGAATCAATTTGACACGCATATCACAAAGAGAACAAATAAATAATCAAATCTATAAACGTTACACCGTTGACACAAGCAGAACGTTGACAAAATAAACAAAGTTCTTCACATACATAAGAGAAAAACATAGAACTTATGACAGCAAGAAAAACTAAAAAGAGTAATTAATATTTTTCCTAATCGCGATACAAATATGTTGGGAAAAACTGTTTGTAAAAATAGGAATGGAGGAAGCAGATGTAATATTAGTTGATAGTTTATTCCGCTGTTTAGAAGTACGCACTACTAAAGATGCCACAAATGATTGATTATTAGGAGCAATTACGTTTAGTTGTGGAGTATTACTTTTGCGCTACGACACAGCGGGCAATTTCCACTAGGCACGTGGTCTTTTGGTCTGCCAGCTAGAGGAAAACTTAAACGCGCGTTTTTTATAGGTTATCTTGTGTACTCTATCTAACGGAATGCTTTTCAAATTCTAAAAAGGTTTTCTAAGTGCTTTTCCAGAGATCCGGTCTCTAGAAAATCACTTAGAAAACCTTTAAAAAACTCAAATTAACTAAATTCAAAACTGTCTGTACAAATACGGCTGAATTATACACCATTCGACGTAGTTTTTTCCGCTGATTCCGAATATCTCATTATTTTTTTATTTAAATGTTAATGAACCAAGAAAAAGCTAATTTATTTCAAAAATCTTTAACTCGATCCAGGAGCGTTTGCGCTAGTTTGTGCTATCAGTATATATGTATCGTTAGTAGGTCTACCTTCGGTAAAAAATTCATTGAATTTGAAGCTTCGGAAAAAATCGGAAACCGATTACACTGAGCACGCATTTTCGGAAAACGTGTAGCAAAAGAAGAAAACTAATTTTCTCGGTCATGGAAAAGTCAAAACGGAAGTTTTTTTTACGAATGGATAGAGCGAAATGCCTAGTTTTAGACTATGTAAAGTTTTAATAAATATCGTCTATTGTTTGTCGCAAAATGATTCTCTATCTTAACCGCTCCGTTTTCCTAAAATAATTTCATCGTCGATTTTCCCGCTAGAAATGGCACCTAGAAAAAAACTTGCAATGACAAAGTTATAGAGCGTATGCCAAAGTATATGATGTGCTATTCAAATCTCGAAAAATCTCACTTTCGTTTTTTCACTTCAATATGACGTGATTGTCCATTGTGTGCGAATGCCGATAGGATAATAAGATCAAAGCAAGAGAGAGCAGTATGTTTCTTAAGAATCTTCTACACTTGGTTGGCTTTAATGGAAAATTTATTTTACCGCACCTCAATGTGTTTCAGACTAATTTTTACTTCAGTATTTTCTCATGATCCTTAGCAGTTAGAACAAAAATCCTTTTGAAAATATATGGACCATATCTTAAAGTGTAATTTTTTATACTTAGATAGGAAAACAGAGCACATCGATATTTTTGTTGAATGTCTGCCTGGATGCACATTGTGTGAGAGTGCCACAGTCATACATTTGGTCTCAGAGTTGAATTTGTAAATAAAGAAATCTCATCCTTTTCTAAAACCTTTCAAGAATAAAGTTTATTCGAATAATTTTTCCATACGCTTTCTTTACAAGTTACTCAAAAGACCGCGGAATCTTCTCTATGGAGAACCGTAATTTCAGATATTATATCCGCTCACGCAAAAAAAGTTCAAATTTTCTTACTTCGGTGCGCATACGAAATATTCAATCTCTCGAACTTTTATAATGGTTGTTACCTTCTAATTTATTTTAGTTGATTGTCGTAAAATTCGTCGACGCCGTCAAGTTCCGTATCATGGTATTGAACCATATTTGGGCGCATACGATCCCAATTATTACTTACAAATACCTCAAAGCGTTTATTATGGAACAGATGGTGTGCAATATCAGTTAAATGGAAATATCATTCGATATCCTGGAGGACTAAATGTTCTAGAAGCAGTCACACAATTTCCAACACCCGTTAATAATCTCAATGCAGGATTCTATAATCCACAAAGTTACAATGCGTATCCGGGTGGTGGTGGTGGGTATTATTATGGTAAATAAAAACTGATATTATAATAGTTTGACAATAAGTATATACAGTTTTTGTTTGTTTCTCTGTTTTTAGGTAATAATAATAATATGCGTTTACCATCTGAAACTGGTTGGTATTCAGCGAATTATGTGAGAACAAATATAGTCAAAATTCCATACAGTAATTCAATTAAAATTAAATCGAATATTTTTATACTTTTAATGTTATTTTACTCATATTTTGTTGTACATATTTTATAGGCTGATCGCTGGTGTAAATAACTTCTAATATTTAAATTTTATATAATACTTCTCTATTAAGGCCTCCCTGTCAGAAATCTATTTCGGTAACTACAAGTTCGATCTGGATGAAAGTTTCAGTAAATGACGTCCATATCGAAGTAAGATGACAAAATTTTGTTTTGGTTTTATCATCGCTGTTTCGAAGATGTTACCGTAACAAAGGTCAAAATGGAACAGCTAAAGTTTCCGAAAATTCTTACGCAGATTAGGTACCATTTTTCGTCAAAAACCCTAAGACCTTCTTTCAAGTTTTCAGAGATCTAGGTCATATTTAACTTTCGAAACGAGACTTAAAACTCCGACTCTGCACCGTCGCGACAACATTTCTCTACGAAACAAGACAATGGATTTTAAGGTAACTCTTAGAGCGACGAAGAGGAAAATCAGTTTTAAAAATATGACGGTGTTAGAATATAGTACAGATTTAATGGCTGTTAGTAAAAGTGTCATAACTTTTGATCAAAGCATCGCTCGAAGTTTAACCAGAAATGTTTGATCTAAAAACTGGCATAATTGAAATTGTGTTTGATTAGTACCAACTTTTCATAAAAAGATGTACATTTCTGACAGGTGGGGCCCTGACTGGCTTCTTTCAAATCTTACCTGTTTAATTACTCGCCTATTTTACAGTTATGCAAAAATTGTGAACATGTTTCTCTTTTTTTTCGAATGCTCAGTTAATTCTTATTGATGGTTAGATAATGTTTATTATGTGTATCTAATAATACTATCATATTCATACCAGACATTTCAGACTGAATCAATACCCCGAGGAGTACCAAGGACGCCCCTAGTCGAGACTCTCGGCCAAAGTCCCGAGGGAGTCCGGAAAAAAAGTCCCGCGAGAGTCCCACGGGAGTCCCTATAAAATCTTCGCAACGAAAAATCGTAGACAGCTCAGAAACGACTTAAATTAAATATTCAACTCTTTTCTGCATTTTGAGATCTCTTGGGACTATAGAAAATCTATCCTCAAAAAGTTATGATGAAAACGCCACTAGCTATATTTCGATTTATTTTTTGGAAAAGTGGATCTCGCCGTTTTAATTATAACTTTTTGAGGTTACATTTTCTAGAGTGCGAAAAGATCTCAAAATGCAGAAAAGAGTTGAATATTTAATTTAAGACGTTTCCGAGCTGTCTATGATTCCACTATGTTTTACTCGGACTTTTCTTCGAGAATATATATCAAAAGTTGTTATTGCACAGATTTTCTGCCAACAAGTGGAATAGATTTTCAAGTTCGAATAATTAATCTGGATGATAAACAGATGAAATTAGTTTTTTCGGATACCACTGGGCAAGAAAACTTTCGATCGCTGGTTAATAATTATTTTCGAGGATTTTCTTTTCTGTGACATATACGGACTTAATTAATCTGTGAAAGAGATGTGTCTCAAAAGAAAACTTGTCCAAAAATCCGATAGTGTAACTTTGTGACTAGAAATGAGACCTACTTAGATAAGGGAACAGAGAGCTGAATTTGCTGTGTACACCTGAATTTACTACGTGCCTCTTTATTCATACTGATTTTTTCAAAAAATAAAATTTTTTGTGTATGGGACTCTCGCAGGACTTTTTGTGGAGTCTCGTAGGACTCCCTATGGATTTTTTGAGAAAAAAAACTTCTGAGGGAGTCCCGCGGGAATCCATCGGGACTCTCGACTAGGGCGGCATATAGACTTAGCTCGAATGGACATGGGAAAAGTATGCTCATTCAAGTTAAAAGAAAATTGCTTTTACAACTAGGGGTGCCACATTACTGTTCACCATACAACGAAGACTTAAGTGTAAGTTTTGATTCAAGTCAGACTTAAGTTTTTTTTGTGATACGGCTCCCAGCTACTTTCGAGTTCTCTTATTGCGATTTCTGGAGCTGGTCATGACTCCTTAGCAACGTTGAGGCAAAACAAACAGATTTTCATTTGTCACATTATCTGATTCACTCTTCCTCCTTTCGCTTCCTCTTTTGGATTATGACTTATAAAACATGGATCGACCAATCAAATGAGTTTATTTGTTTTGGATCCACCACTGTGATTGGATTAGAACATACTAGGACCGAGCAGAAATTTCCCGTCGTCCATTATAGATTTATGCCTCTGCAGTCAACCACAGAGGTTTTTATTGTATATCTTGTAGACAGAATACAGACTGCATTTTGGTAAATCATTACTTATCAAAAAGCGAGATAACTGAACTCACAAAGTAGGTATATATGTGTTTGCCTTAAGTTTATGTGATATCAGTTGAATCTGCTTACTTCTTTTGATTTCTTCTAGGATATATATTTCTAAGATTCAGATTGTGTCAAATTCTAAACATGTTTTTCATTTTAACATTGGGATAAATATTGAGTTGATGTAGGTCGTGAGTCATAGTCATTCTTAGCTAAGACAAAACTATGTGAATGTTATTCAACAGTTGTTGCTGCCAATTGGTTACACTAAATATTTCTGATACAATACAAATACAATTACTTTATAGACTGTACGAAGTGAAATGATCTCGGCCTCGTGTGATCATGGTTGTATCGAGACTAAATTACAACCATGATCACACGAGCCAGAATGAAGTTTCAATTTTCATACCTGTTAGTCTCGAAATCAAGTTATTCATAGTTTCATTTCTATTGGATTTTTATCGTATTGAATACTGCAGACAATTACCCTCACATAGCAAGCAATATTGCTACTTGCTGTTCGAATAGAGAAAATCTTTTTCTGTTCCATGACTGCATGGGTCATCGAAGACTATTTTAATATAATTATTCCATACCAGATTAGCTATTCAAATTCCTTATCAGAAAGTTGTTTCTAGGAGAACCCGATCTGTTAATTAAATCTTAACTACTTATCAACTGAAGAGAAAGGGTTTGACCTTTTTGTCTCAAGCTTCTCTTAAGAAGTAAGTGAGATGACTTTTTTCGATCCATATTACTTATTTTTTTATCTAGATGCATTTTTGTGTATGTAAACACGAATAGAATAATCAGGTGTATATTTAATATTTACTTTCTCTTGTAGAACAAGAAAGAAAAATCTCGATATATTTTACGTATATGTGTAGTCTACTATATATTAGAAAAAAACAATCAACTTTCTGCCGTTCTTCGTAAACGATAATGGAGAAAAAGGAAAGCTGTACGGAACATGGATTAATTATCAACAGTGATACGTAATCATTTAAAGTCATGAAATATGATTAAAGTATATTGTAACGGCATCTGATAGTGAGTTATTATTGCCTCTCTCGTATTTTCGGTTGAGGCCATCCATGCACTATCATATATGTTCTTAGCTATCCAACGTCGTCTATTATCATGTAAAGGTTTGAAGCATAAAGCCCCATCTGTTATTCTGTACTACCTAAAAAAATTGAATTTGTTCGATTTTTTCATCTTCTATAAAAACTTGTTATATTTAGTCGTAAAAACAAAACTATGCTTTTAACTTGCAAATTTCTTTGAATATTTCGATGTATAGGATTTTCATATGTAGTAATAAAGGTGTATCTTTCATGTTGTGCTGTGAAGTAGCGGTGATTAAATCGTAAAACGTCGCACTTTTAAAACTTATAACATCCAACTTCTGTATTCTGTAAGTATTCCGTTTTTGAATCTTAACAGAAACCTACTATCTATTTTCTCACAAAACACACTTCTTTAAACGTTAACTATTACTTTCCCGTTCTAGTTCAACTATGCATGGTAGTAAAAACATTTTCAAAGGTGTATCACCTCACAGGACCGTACCCAGGAGCTAGGCACACAGAATAAGTGCCCACTCCTTAGAATTCCACTACACTGATAATAATATTCGAAGGCGAAAATTTTTATATGGATATTCAGACTAGTAATAATGGAATTTTTCCTAGATGCCCACCCCTTACCAAAATTCTGGTTATGACCCTGCCACCTCGTTTTTTTATTTAAGAGATCATGCTCCAAATGTATCCGTAGTAGATCAAGTAGCGTAGACGCCGCTGTAGCTATTAAGAAAATCATTTCAATAAATTTCATTGTCTGTTCATCATTTGATATTAACTAAATTACTTGAGGTGTACATTCGTAACTAATATGTATGAATATTTAGTATTATTATAGTCATAGGTGTTCAGCAGATTTTTTTAACAGTTTTAGACGCACAATCGGCATATTTTGACTGGAAGATATAGGATTAGCATAACGTCTCAATTGAGATACAATCCATATTCAATCAAGTATCTCAGTTGAGAAACCAATATTTCTGTGAAAATATTCGTTTATTAGCTGAGATACAATTTTGACACGTTCCTTGAAACGTGTGCCATTGTGCAGCGTACTAAAGTCTATTATTCAATAGTTATATAATTGTGAAACAGCGATAAGACATATTTTAAAAAGAAATGAATTTTGTTCGAAAAGAAACTCAACGAGACGCTCCGTCCATATTGTTTCAAGAAAATCTTTTTCGTCACCAACGTACGAAATAAATATGGAAGTGAAAGATGGGTTTGTACAGTTAATGCTTGTCCTTGTTCAGTTGTTTTAAAAAACATGCACAATAGCACGTTTCAAGGCACATGTCAAAATTGTGCTTCAGTTGAGAAACGAATATTTTCATAGAAGTATTGGTTTCTCAACTGAGATACTTGATTAAAATATGTCGCACTTCGTTTGAGTTTGTTTAATCACATTAATGTAGGTATCATCTTAGACGAATAAGTGATGTCAACAAAGATAGTCGAATAAACATAAATGTTTTGTCTGTTGACACTGGTCGAGTTTGTTGTTCTATTTCTTGCAAGATTCTTGTCATTTCAGCCAAGAATCTTGTAAAATAGTTTACATATATGTTTATTTCAAGATTTTTGGCTGAAGTTTCTGCTCATAATTTTAGCCAAGAATCTTGAGATAAATTTCCGTCAAGAAACTTCTCTTGTAATTCTTAAACGAATCTTATTCCAAACAAAAAGAATGCATGTCTTTTCTTTTAAGAATTTCAAGACAAGAATCTTGCAGGAAATCGCTTTCTTGTGCATATGAAATCACAAGAAGGCGATTTCCTGCAAGGTTCTTGTGATAAAAATACATGTAAAATATTTTACAAGATACTTGTCTGAAATGCCAAGAAACAAGAATCTTGTAAGAATACCCACAAGAACGTCGACCAGTGTAGCCGCTCTAACGCCAATACAGGTATATATAAAGACTCGATTGTCTCTCGACAAGAATTTCGCGAGACTTAAAAGAATGTTTACCGATATCTATGTATAGTGTTGAATTATATTATGTAACTTATATTTAGCACGGGAATCGACAAAGCAAATTGGCGATTTTGTCGTCAACAAATCTTACCAATTCAGACAAGAATCTTTCACGAAAACATGAAAAATCAAATAAAAAATTAAAGAAGAATCTTGTCTGAAATGGTAAGAGACAAGAATCTTGCAAGAAATAGAACAAGAAAGTCGATCAGTGTATAGACTAATCCACTTTCTTGTCTCTTACCATTTCAGACAACCATCTTTAAATTTTTCTTAGTAGATCATCAAGATTGTTGTTGATGATAAAATCATCAATTTGTTTTGTCAACTCCAGTACTATATATACTTCACACTGTTATACACGGGTATTCACAAAAATTCTTTCGAACTTCATAAGATTCTTCTGAGATAATTGAGTCGTTGCATGCGTCTGTGTTGGAAAAAGAAGTATCCTCGATATAAAATAAAAAGAAAACTAAAGTGAATCATATATATATTTTCGTTCGACAAAATTTTAAAAATTACAAAATAAAATATATTTGCAAAGAAATTTGTTCTTTTGCATTCAGACAAGAAACAAGATTCTTCGCTGATTTTCTAATAGTCAATTTGTTTGTTTACAGAAATCTTGAAATAAAAATACACATAAAATATTTACAAAGATTCTTTGTCTGAAACTGTGAGAAACGAAAGTATCGACAAGAAAGTGGACTAGTGTATATTTTTAAAAATATATAAATATATTTTCAGATTGTCTACTTTAAAATGCCCACAGCCAAGCATTGTGAAACAATTCATGCTCGATTTGAGATTATCTGGAAATTTTTAGAAGATAAGGTTCTTCATCCGGATAAATATTTGAAAGGAATCAAACAAGTAAATATTCTTGAACAAACGGTAACTCCAGTTGGTCTTATAGTTGAGAGAGAAATTTTGTTCGACGATCCAACATTTGAAAACATCAAAGAGCTAATTATATCGGATAAAGTCTCAGGACAAGTTGTCTACCGTCTCAAAGATAATCCAAAATTTGAAGGTAAAGATAAATTCTCTCAGTCGACTGTGTCTTAAAATACATAATTATATTTTACTTTCAGGTGAAACGGTGAATGTTTGTCGTCCCACAAATGTGGTTTATTTATCTCAATTAGAATACAGTTTAAATTGGAAATTAAAAGATGTAGCAAAACAGGAAACAGATGCTGAAGAAGAAATTGGACGAAAAGCGTTACAGTTGGCTTTTGAAGAAATGAAAGCTGTTTCAGAGAAAGCCGAACGTGAACAATACCCCACATGATAATTAGATAAAATAGGCTCTTTTTTGCACAAACATGAAATACAGCTAATTATGACCCACGTTGATCCTTTGCCAAAGATTGATTTGTCGCTGTTTGTCAACAAAATTCTTATGTTTTTCTTTATTTTATTCAAATCTTAAAAAAAGCCAAAAGGTCTGAGAGAGATCACTAAAAGTTATTAAGAAAGATTACACAGCAAAAGAAAATAGCACGCAAAAGTGGACGCTTTCTAGTAAACGCTTTATCGTGAATGATTTTTTTCATACGAAAAACTAAGATTTGAATAGGTCCCGCACTGTACATTAAAAACACATGTAACGTTCTGAGAGCATTCATCATTCCAGGTATTCAGTCAGTATTGAAATGAGATACCACAGTCCCAACTCAACCAGGACGGTCTGTTAACGGTCAACTATAAAAAGGCGCATTAAGGGTGTAAAAACGGTCCATTAACATCAGTGTAAATCGGCCGTTTTGAGAACGTCAATTAATGGTCTAAAAACGGGTCATTCACTGTTGTGACTGGACGTAGTCTATGCTGTATACCGTTTTTAGATCGTTTTGTTGACAAGTCATTCATCTCTTTTATCTTGCTATCACTACTAGTATAATGCTAACTTTCTTCGAATAACTTCGAATTTTTCCTTTCCTTGTATATACAAGTCAATGAAACTTGACTAGAGGAAGTAACCATTTGTCTTGGGCTTAATACTAAAGATAGTATTGTGATCCTGGACCTGGAGTTATGCACTATGCTTATCATTTAATACTTCCTTTCACTATACTTTGTCGCTAATATTGGTCACTGGATGCTTCCTTTCCATAGTAAGAATTAGAAAAAAAAATGAGAAATTCGTACTCTTAATCGTCTAGCAACTGTTTTCTACTTAGGCGCACAGAATATTAATTATGTCGACAGACATTATGTATTTTTGCTGGGAATTTTATATTTTTCTTTTTGTATGGCCCTTTTTTTGTGCAAAATGTGCACCTCATGATGTAGAGAACTATGAAAGTTAGAAAAGTTCTGGGAAAGGTAGGATATTCTCCCGACATTGGAGATTGATCAGTGCACATTTTTCTCTCACATAAAGGTCTCAAATCGAACCATAAGCGCCCCAAATAAAAGAAGAATGTATTTTGGACTTTCAGATTTCGTATATTCAATTGTCCTGCGCGATTTGTTCTATACAGGAAAACTAATTCTCTCTCTCTCATCTTCAAATTTCGTTTCCAATCCATTTTTCTTAAATCTGTCTTTTAAAGCAACTAAAATGGCAATGAATGTGATATGGTGAACTCCCTATTGACTGCGGACCGCTTCTGACAGATTCAGATCGGATACAGTTTGTCGATATCGCAAATTGTGCATAGCGCAATTGTTCTCTAATTTTTTAATGTTTTCTGATTCGACTACTTTATTTGATTAAATAGACCAGCATTGATCATCGAATTTACAATATACTCATGCTACCAGTTCTTTTTCTTTTTTTAATATTGAATTTATTGATCTCGAAGGTTAGCAATTAACATTTACATGAGTTCATTGATAGAAAAAAGAGTAGCAAAAAATAGAAATATAACCACTTCTTTCAGTTGAAGCAAACAATTACAATAGTTAATTTGCACGCCTTATACAAAAATCAACTAAACCGTTGTATGGAGAGAGAGAACAGAAAACTTTAAGATACATGGGAGAAAGAGCATAACAAAAACAATCGATTAGCCAACAAAAAAAAACATTCTTTGTTTATACTTTTTGTGTTTCCTATTCCTTTTGTGCATACAGGTTTTTAGTCTAATATCACACAGAATTTTTCAAGGGGGATACTCGGAAAAATACTTTAACATGAAGTATTCAAGAAGAAAAGAAGTTTTCGTGAATATACCCCGAACTGTTTTTTGTGTACATCCCTGGACGTGAGCACGTCCAAATACGTATAATGAGCTCTCTCCGCGAGTCTGGTTGGAAATACGCTGTTTTTTCGAAAATCCATGCTTTTGTAATAAGTTTTAGAAGGTGATGTAGCGATAAGGAATGCTGTCCACGTTTGCTGGTGAGAGACTGCCTCTGCAGATTCTTCTAAGTGTTTTGAAAATTTTGTCCAATACCTGCAGAGATAATCTCGTAGAGAGAATTCTCTTTTTCAGTGTAGTAAAACCAAGTAAACAAAAGCCAGATGAAGTGAGATAGTGAAAATACGCAAAATAATTTTCTTCTAATTTTTACTTCACTTTTTGGTACTGTATGAAAAATTTTCCGTAAAGCACAGTAGGAGTTTCTAACCATTTTCAGACGGTCTCGACTCCTAAACATTTAAATGAAGTGATGTATTCTATTAGTACATTTTTATACTTAATCTCTAGCTTTCTAATGGCAACTGCACTATGTACTAGCGTCGCTTTCGTTTTAGGGATATTTACGGGTAAAACGTGATCCTGTGAAAACTTTTCTGAGGACTTCAGGACAGTTTTCGTCTGAACTTCTAAGTATTTTATATTATCAGATAATCTTTTTTCAAGCGCACCTTTTAATAAGAATGTTAAATCATCTACATACAGATGTGATAAGATTTGAGGAAAGTAAGATGGCAGAAAGTAGATGTGCAGTCTAAATAGTAGAGCTGCTAAGACGCTTCTTTGAGGTGCTCCTACGAAGATCTGAAAGAGTCTTGATTCTGCATCTCCATGGCTTATCGATCTGTTTTGTAACCAGTTATAAATTCATTTTCTATGATAGTCCGGCATTCCTAATTTTACTAAAGTACTCATTAAGGCAGGTACCACATTTTGTCAAATACCGTCTGAAAATCTAGAAAATTCCCTGATCATTGCACCATTTCTCAATTCTCTCAACTATTATTCTCTCAAACCACTTTCCTAAATTTGTGCTACCAGTTCTTTTTCTCTCTCGTCAATTTACATTTGATTTAATCGGAATCTTGATGAAAAACTTGAGTTTTTAACCAAACCAGGAATGTGCAACAATAACTGGATATATAAATGCGTTGCGTTTTAGTCATAGGTACACATGCCATAGTCAATGAGTTTAATGAGAATTTTGAGCATAGTAACAGGCCCACACGGTTTCCCTGTGAATTTTTCACATTTTCTAAGCCCAAAACAGAGTACTAATTAAATTTAGGGAGTATTTGTTATGTAAGGATTGGTAAAGATTTACAATCCTTGTATAAGTATATAAGCCTTGTCATATACTCCTTTCTCCGACGGATGGCGCACTTTGTCGGAGACATATGACGCATGTCGAATTCTAGATTATGGAATCTAGCAGAACGTTCGCCCGGTCTTGGTTCGTTCTAGTTCTGAATTATTCCCTGATACTTTTGGAACTGTATGTAAGAGTTGGTTTTCTCAGTGTATATTATTAGCTGTTATAAAGTTAGATTTGAAATAAAGATAGGAAAAGATAGTATTAGATATCTTGATTATTACAAAACGTTGCAGACACTAGTGTTGTGCATCGTTGAAAACATTGGGCAGGATGATTTCCAGACTGAACGTCAAATATTTCTTTCGTTAAGTCAACTTTTCTTCGAAAAATTTTTAAAGTCCATTGTTTTTGATTCTTTTCTTTCCAGAAAGTTCGAGTTAGATGGTAGACCAATGTATCCACTTGCATTTACGGATAGGGCATGTGCATCTTAAAAATATAAAGAGTATGATTTCGCTGTCAGACTAATCAGAGTATATTGGAGAATCACAAATACAGACAAAACAATAAGGCAGAAAAAGAAGCTTCAATGACTCTGTATGATCCTATCGGAAGTTCAATTTCATCCCATTTAACTCAATTATTTGACTTTCAATTTGTTCTCTATAAGCAGCTTTCGCCATGTCCCGTTGTAATAATGATAAAAAGTGCGTAATTCTGGCAGTCGCAGAAATTTGTCCTAAGAAAAATAATTTTCTACTCCGGGTTACTTCACAAAAATTTCTCAGGAATTGTAATAGATTGATTTTCTCAAAAAAAAAGTTCATATATCGAAATAATTTTCTCTAATTTTTTATTATGAAAGTACATTTTGTGGGTTATTTAATTAAGTATAATATCTAATAGACAGTTAAATTTAACTAATTTTCTCTGCATCGAACAGAAAATTCATGACATAAAAAATTATAAAAAAGAGAATAATTTGGTTATAGTACAGAATCATGTCTTAGATAATAAGCAATATTGAGTTCAACACTGATGCGTCATGTGTCACGCAAGTTTTACCTGAATGTATGTTGGCATTAATTACAAACGATTTAAACAATTTGTAAACCAGTTTAATGCGATCGTCGGCTATTTAAAAATTTAATTTATCTAAGAAAAACAATTATTTTTTATCTATTGCTAGAGAAATAATCTTTTCAATCATTGTTTTTTACTCACAATTATCAAACCATGTTTTTTATCTTCTCTACATTGTGAAAAAAGATGTACTTCAGCCGCGTTAAAGGCGACCTCATTTGTTTACCAGTAAGGTGGAATGTAAAAGACGCGTCACCATGCCTTAAGGAGGCGCCTGGATTCTACACCCATAATGTCTGCATGAGACATTGTAGATGCTTAGTCAAGGCATTTTTGATGCATTCTCTCATGTAAATTAGATGCATTGCTGATGTATAAAGTAGGGCACTCTGCTGTTCTTAAAGCATCCAGGTTGCATCAGATACATTCGGATGCCATACAAATGAGGGCTGCCACGCAAAACCTGCAAAACTAGGATGAATAAGTCTATCTAGAGGGTAGAAAGAATGTTACTTTCTCTTCTTGGATATAGACGGGTTAGAAAAAAAGGGCTTAATTGCTTGTTAGTTACGGGGCTTTTAACTTCCGAATATATCTGAGTGTATGTATTGGTTGGACAGCGAATGGCTAAACTACCATTTTTACTTCAGTTTTCTCGGTTTTGTATAAAGCACCTGATTAGAAGTTATCAGATTTTATAAAAAATATATACAAAAATTATAGAATGAAAGCACCTGTGAGTGA